GTGTTATGTGTATATTGTGATGGATTGCGCTGGATCAGGCACGCTGCCGGCCGCCATCTTACACGAGCACGTGTTAACATCAGCGGTGTTTCTCTAGGCGCCTGTCTTCAAACACCTGCTGCTCTCGCTCTGTCTCTTCTACGGCTGCGTGCTGGAGAGACGCAAGTTCGGCGCGCTCGGCTTCAACATACCGTACGAGTTCACCGATGGTGATCTGCAGATCTGCATCAGTCAGCTGAAGATGTTCCTCATCGAATACGCCGAGACGCCGTTCAAGGTAACGCACGTTCCCACCGCTGTTTAGCCACCTTGGAGGTAAACAGTGTATGGGAGCATGTACTATGCGGGTTGCACTTTTTTGCCTTATGATGCAGAATGCGTATAGTGGGGGGGGGGGGTACATATTATAAGTGCCCTACCACTATTTAGCACCAGGATACGAAAAGAGACAAAGGGGCTATCTGGGGGATCATATACTACGAGTGAGTTCCCCCCCCCCCAGATACAGGAAGTAAACAGTGGTAACCACCTTAGATTACGGGTGGGGTGTGTGCGATTTCTTTTCCGCGTGCTTGCGGCCAAATAACGCGCCGTAAAGAAAGCCGCGCGCTTCTTTCCGCTTTCAGGTGTTGAAGTACACGGCGGGGCAGATCAACTACGGCGGCCGCGTGACGGATGACTGGGACCGCCGCTGTCTGATGAGCGTGCTAGACGGCTTCTACTGCAGCGACGTGCTCAACGCTGAGCACAAGTACAGCGAGTCCGGCGTCTACCGGCAGATCGACCCGGACGCGTGCGGCCACGAGGTAGACACGAGATCGGTCGCGCGTACGCACGCATGCGTGTAAACGCACACGCACGTACGCACGCACACACACACACACACACGCACGTACGCATACGTCCAGACATGCACACACGCACGCATACGTCCATATATGCACACGCACGCACATACACACACGCGCGCGCGCATGCACGCACGCACGCACACACACGCATACGTCCACACATGCACGCGCCTGCGGGGAGCTTCTCAATGGGCTGCTAGTAAATGTTTGTTGACCAGACAAGAGATAGCTTAATGTTTCGATTTTACATAGTACACGCATGGACGCGCACGCACGAACTGACACACGCATGCAAATATGCACGCACACGCATGCACTAACACACGCATGTAAACGTACAAATACATCCACACATGCACACGCCCACCTGCAGGGAGCTTATCACTGGGTTGTTAGTAAAAGGGCATCTATAATATTTGTTGAGCTGGGAAAGCAGCTTAATGTCTCGGTTTTTACTAGCACACGCATGGACACGCACGTACGCACGCATTCATACTGGGTTACTTGGGTTGTCAGTAAAAGCGCATTTTTATGTTTGTTGAGCTAGCTGACAAGTAAATGTTTAATGTTTCCATTCTTACTAGTACACGCGCATACACACACTCTTTCTTACACACACACACACACACACACACACACACACACACACACACACACACACACACACGCATGCGCACACCTCCAGAGAGCTTCTCAGTG